GCTCGAAATTCATAACAAACAAACAAACCTAATTATTGTTAGCTTTTTATTAAAATAAAAGAGAGCTTGAAACTCTCAATGTGAACGTGCTCATGATAACTGATTAAGATGAATTAAACTTTGGACTTACTGACGATAATATCCTCTCGTAGTGTTCTTCCGATAAAAGGAACTGAGGGGAAAATTCGAAGACCCTCCTGAGTCGGAGAGTAGGTCGAAGTTTGTATATCGATTTGAAAGATAACAAAACAAATCAAGTTTGAATTACTGATGAACAGTTTTGAATTATAATTGATAAAATTATATATCTGAACACAGTATCGGCAATTGGGTAAAATGATAATTGTTTTATGGTACTCGTAAATATTTTAAAATCCCTTTTGAAACAAAAAAGTAACTTGTGAAATTAGTAATAATATATTGAAGTTTACAAATTGAAAGGAAGTATTACAATATACTATTATTAACAAGAATTCCTTTAAAATTTCCTGCAAACGTCATTTTTTTTTACACATACAGAGTCACAGTCACGACATTAACAACTCTCTCTAACCAGCTGCAATAATTTATCCCATATGACACATCGTAAAACATTTATTTTTTCATAAAAAATATTTTATCAGTGTAAATATATTTTCAAAAAGAAAGGAATACATTATATTCACCTACAAAACAAAACCTACACACGACACTTAAATATCTTAACAACAATTATTGAAAAAATATCATTTTAACGGATTTATTTCGCTGATAAAAATATCTGCCATCTTTTTTTTTTTTTGTTAGTTACTGTTTGATAATTAAATGATCCGTATAATTTTTATTTTCGCACAAATATGGTATATTATTAACTCTAACTCGTTAATGTTTATCCCTTAAGTATTGTTGTGTAAATATGGTACATTGTCAATTTCAACACGTGAATTTTCGTCTCTTAAGTATTGTTGTGTAAGTATGGTACATTGTCAATTTCAACACGTGAGTTTTCGTCTCTTAAGTATTGTTGTGTAAATATGGTACATTGTCAATTTCAACACGTGAGTTTTCGTCTCTTAAGTATTGTTGTGTAAGTATGGTACATTGTCAATTTCAACACGTGAGTTTTAGTCTCTTAAGTATTGTTGTGTAAGTATGGTCCTATGCCAATTCTAACTCGTGAATTTTCGTCTCTTAAGTATTGTTGTGTAAGTATGGTACATTGTCAATTTCAACTCGTGAATTTTCGTCTCTTAAGTATTGTTGTGTAAGTATGGTACATTGTCAATTTCAACACGTGAGTTTTCGTCTCTTAAATATTGTTGTGTAAGTATGGCACATTGTCAGTTTCAACTCGTGAATGTTCATCTCTTAAGTATTGAATGTATTTTGTTTGTCCTGAACGTCAACTTATGAGAGTTATTTATTATTATTGTACAGATCTATTCTATTGTCAACTCCATCTCGTGAATGGGTACGTTTTAACATTGTTACGTATATTCACTTTATTTGCCAACCTCAACTTTCAACTTGTATGCCGTTCCCAAATGTACGTAAAGAAAATAACAGATAAGCTATAAGTATTTAGTGAAGAAAAAAAAACGGTTGAAATGCATTTAGGAGGTTTTAGGGATTACACAAAGGAAATTTGAGATGACGAAAAGTATTTTTAATTTTAACATGAAGATTACTTTGCACACAGACTATTCAAAACAAATACTCAATATATTTATGGACAAATCTTTATTTTTATTAAAAATACTTCACTAAAAATATGACTTTTTGTATGCGAAGGACTAGCAAATTTGGTGAAGATATACCCAATATATTGAGACTTATAAGTATTAATTTATAAAGACTTTAAACGAGTACAAAAGGTCACGTGACTCGGTCAAATTGACCGACCCGTGTCGAGAGAGCAGTTTTATAGAAATTTAATTTATTTCATTGTATAAACCAATTACATGCCCAACTACAGCCTCTCGTTCACTAACCCCAAAAAGTCCCGTCATTATATTCCGCCATTCTAGGATTGTTTCATTCATAAATCAATCGAACAACAGTGGATTATAGCGACTTGATTACTATGGTTAATTATTCACTGGAGCTTATGAGAAATACCAGTGAATTGTTATAAAGATTAATATATTCTTAGCTACAACTTAACATCGTTAACTTCAACTTATGACTGATAAAACTGAGGTGTTTTGTAAAAATTATGTATAACGTTAGCTCCAAATTATTATTTTTCGGAATGTATTTTTTCGAGAGACTAGAACTGAAATTTGCGTGTGTTCTGTACTTAATTATTGCCTTGACATTTCTGAAATACACAATGTCAAAAATGAATAATTCACGAAATTTTCCAGAGTTCTGTAAATCATGCATAATGATGTTCTTAACAGAAGAATACCACTGCCTAAACCCTTTCTAAAATCAATACATATACAAATTCATAACTGGCACTAATGATAATTACAAGATGGCGCCACAAGTAGAATAGGAAGCTAGACACTAACTTGTTACACTTCTGTAGTAGCTCTAAGAATAATTAACTAGCTTGGCGTATCTAATTAAACTCTCAAAAATAATAAACAAAAAATAGGGAGTAATCTACGTACTTTTAATGCACAATCCATGTACTTCATATTTTTTATGTCCTCTATGGTAATAGACCTTTCGGTATCATTTCCAAATATTGAGTCCAGTTCGTCTTGTATTTTTTTCTGAACAAACGAGTCCAAACCAATGAGATAAAGTGTCCAGCTAATTCCCATAGCAGTCGTGTCATGCCCCTGTTAAAATAGAAACATAACTATATGTATATACATATATTCATGTGTTTCTATATATTTATATATTCATATTGTTTGGTTGTACCAATTGTTCAGTGAGTGTTTTAAACACCTAGTAAAGTAAACTTGTAGCACTAAATTGTTTGGTTGTACCAATTGTTGAGTGAGTGTTTTAAACACCTGGTAAGGTAAACTTATAGAAGTGTTTTAAACACCTAGTAAGATAAACATATAGCACTGGACTGGTTGATGATTTTGGAAGAATAGTACGTTTCTGGACTACATTCTCGGGCAGTTTTGCTTGGATGGTAAGTGAAGTTGGTAATACTGGAGAGAGAGATGTACAAATGGGAAGGTAGGTTTCGAAACAAGATGGCTAAGTGAATAATTTTGAATAAGCACGTAGATAAGTATGTGTTATTGAATAAGCACGTGGATAAGTTTGTGTTATTGAATAAGTACGTGGACAAGTATGTGTTACTGAATAAGTACGTGGACAAGTATGTGTTATTGAATAAGCACGTGGATAAGTTTGTGCTACTGAATAAGCACGTAGATAAGTATGTGTTATTGAATAAGCACGTGGATAAGTATCTGTTACTGAATAAGCACGTGGATAAGTATGTGTTATTGAATAAGCATGTGGATAAGTTTGTGTTACTGAATAAGTACGTGGACAAGTATGTGTTATTGAATAAGCACGTGGATAAGTTTGTGTTTGTGTTACTGAATAAGTACGTGGACAAGTATGTGTTACTGAATAAGCACGTGGATAAGTATGTGTTACTGAATAAGCACGTGGATAAGTTTGTGTTACTGAATAAGTACGTGGACAAGTATGTGTTATTGAATAAGCACGTAGATAAGTATGTGTTATTGAATAAGCACGTGGATAAGTTTGTGTTACTGAATAAGCACGTGGATAAGTATGTGTTATTGAATAAGCACGTGGATAAGTTTGTGTTACTGAATAAGTACGTGGACAAGTATGTGTTATTGAATAAGCACGTGGATAAGTTTGTGTTACTGAATAAGTACGTGGACAAGTATGTGTTACTGAATAAGCACGTGGATAAGTATGTGTTACTGAATAAGCACGTAGATAAGTATCTGTTACTGAATAAGCACGTGGATAAGTATGTGTTATTGAATAAGCACGTGGATAAGTTTGTGTTACTGAATAAGTACGTGGACAAGTATGTGTTATTGAATAAGCACGTAGATAAGTATGTGTTATGAATAAGCACGTGGATAAGTTTGTGTTACTGAATAAGCACGTGGATAAGTATGTGTTATTGAATAAGCACGTGGATAAGTTTGTGTTACTGAATAAGTACGTGGACAAGTATGTGTTATTGAATAAGCAC